CGGGGGGGGGGTCTGTATTATCCTTCAGTGCGGAGGGTTCCGTGATTACACTGATTGCAATAAGTAAAGCGCCTGGCGCCGAGGCGAGGAAACAGCAAACACGCGAGTGTTCGCTGCTGCTGCGGCTGATCTTCACTCTCCTGACTTTTACAATTATCAACTCCCGAGACCAAACGCCTGCGGAGCAAAACGCCCCCGCGCACCGGCCGCCTCACCCCCTCACTGGGGGCGGCATGACTGCTTCTCAGGGAGCGTTACACCCCTTGGGATAGGAACAGGAGTTTATTCTCTTAATGTTGCCCTTGAGCTGATCCCTTGTCACAGCGACCGGCGGCTTGTCAGAGCGGATCCGTCCTTAGTGGGATCCCTCGCACTGAGTGAGCATCACGGCCGGAGACCCCTGGCGCCCCCAGGGTCAGTGCAGGTGCACACCACAGGCGCCAATCTCAGGGCCGTGTGAACAGGGAAAGGGTGTTCCCACGAATGTGATTTGAAGCTTAATATATTTACTTATTTAAACAAGTTCTCCAGTAACCTAAAAGTAAATTTAGATTCGGTGGGAAAGAAAATATAGTTTTAAGAAGTGAAATGATTCAATGCTTCCAGAGCGTTGGATGTTCAGGGGAAACCCATTCGTCTACTTTTCAGCCTCTGTAGGTAGAGATTTTATGTAATTTTTGTATGGTCATTACATAACGTTACATTTAATGAATTAGTGTGGTAGTATGTTTGCAATGTAGGCAAAAAAGACTTTTAAGGAACTATTAGAACCATGTATACTATATTTCTATTAGGGAAAGGGGAGGTGGTGTACTTGGAAAGAGGTCGTATTAGTTCTATCATAGTTTTGTGACTCTTTTAGCGTATTTCTATTTTCTGATTTTAAATAAACTAATATGTTCACTAAAGAAAAAAATGTTTAAACCTGTAAGAATGAAAATTAGGCATATTGACACTAGAGATAATCATTACGAACATTTTGGTGTATTGCTCTAATTTTATGTATTTTCACAGTTGACCAGATAGTATATGTAATATATCACCTTGTTTTTATAAGCTTTTCTTAAGAATTTTTCATATACATAATATCTAGATGTTCCAAGTATTTGAAGGTATGAAGGCTATTATACTTACTATCTCCCTATTGTTGATAAACATTTTTGTTCATAAATCTTTCCACAACTGGTAATCTTAAAATTTTTTATTATGTCCTTAGTTTGGGTAGTTTTTCAAATCTTATTAGTTACTATTTCTTTTGTGAATTATCTGCTCATGTCCACTTATCTAGAGCTGTTTGTGCTTTTATTTTTATTTATATTAGAAATGTTAACTATCACATTTTCAAGTACTCTCCCAATTTTTCCTACAACCACTTTGAGTGTGAAAATATTTTAAATTTTTATGCAATTAATTTTTTAATTGAGTCCATTGCTTTCAGGCTTGGAAATTTCTTTGCACAAAGGAAAGCTACTTCTGTTTCTTTCTCTGCCACTCCTTTTTTCTTTTTTTTTTTTTTAGTTTGACCTTTAATATTTATCTCATTAGTCTATCTAGAATCAATATGTGTATCATGAGAATGTTCATAGATTTCCCCTATCCCATACCAAATAGCTACTGAAAAATAAACAAAACTCCACACTGAGTTTTAATAATAAAAACTAGTAGACTTGTTTTAAACCACTGAAGACTGAGATAAGAAATTGAGCTGACACAAATACCAGAATTTTTATTATAGTGTTAAAAGAATTAAGCATCTTTTTAAAAAAATTATTACTCATCCCTTTTTTATTTCCAAAGCAGATAGTCAAGTTAATTAACCTGAATGATAATTACACAAACAGGGAGACAGTCATCCGGGACATCTTGGATATCTTGATAAGGGCACGAAGATACTGCTCAGCAGTGATGTGCCCATTGGCACAGTCTTGCAAAGAATGGTTTCTTTCAGCTGCAGAGCAGAAAGATTTACCTACCTACTTCCTCTTGGTTCTTGTATTTGCTGTTTATTCACCATCAGAAAGTGGTAGTCTGAATCCTTTCCTCTAGTAACTAGAAAAATGATAGAGGAGTTTGTCTGCTCTTGCTGTGTGTGCATATGTATTTATATTTATATATTTGTGTCTATAATGTCTCTCCTCAAAGTATCAGCATACTACAGTTGGCTTAATTAAAATACCATTTGGCACTGTGAATTGCTTAAACTAAAAAGCACATTCACTGTCTAGGATAAAGCATCTTAGTAAGAACTTACTGCCTAACAGGAAAATAATTTGTTACATATCTAAGCAATTTTATTGTGAAGTCACTTAATTTTAAAAATGTTTCAGAATAAGTACACTTTGTAGACTATCTCCTATACTGTTTTAGGAATTTTCATATTTACATAAAACATCTCTCAAAAACCTTCATGTTCATACAGAGGTTTATGTGCCAAAAGGTAAAGACAGGCTTCATAGCAAAATAATCTGACAATAAGAGAACATTAAAAGAGAGAGAGGGAGGAAGGGAGGGAGGGAGAGAGAACGTTAGGATGGTAGAAAAACACAAAAGAAAGCTGCCATCAAAGCCGGAGAACAAAGCATAGTTAGTTAAAGGCAATCTTGGATGTTGACTTCAGCTAGTTAGCTGAGGCTCTCGTTTTACTATTTAAGGTTTCCAAAATGGTGCATACAAACTCCAGCAGACAACCCACTGGGACTGGGAAGTAAATATAATAACTTATAATTTTCTCTAATCTTTAAAAAAATGTTTAGGGGGATATATGTATAAGGTGCAGCAGAATGTGTATATAAACTGTTATGGACTGAAATTTATCCCCTTAAAATTCATGTTGAAGCCCTTAACTCCTAGTACCTCAGAATGTGACATTTGGAAACAGGCTCTTTCCAGAGGTGATTCAGTTAAAAGGAGGCCTTTAGGGTGGGTCCTAATTCAATCTGACTGTTGTCCTTATAAAAAGAGGAAATTTGGACACACGGGGACACTAGGAGAGAACATACACAGAGAAAAGGCCATGTGAAGACACGGAGAAGGCCATCTCTAAGCCAAGGAAGAGAGACTTCAGAAGAAACCATTCCTACCAACACCTTGATCTGTAATTCCAGACTTCAGAATCATGAGAATATAAATTTCTGTTGTTTAAGCCACCCAGTCTATGGTACTTTTTTTATGGCAGCTCTAGCAAACTAGTATAACAACTTTAGTACAAATGTATACTCAAAATGTTTACTGAAGGGGATGCATTATCATAAAAATTTGACCACTGAGTCATTCCCCAGGTCATAAATTCTATTTCCTCAACAGCACACAGAAAGAATTTACAACTCAGGCTCTAAACCTGCAAATGGATTTTCTTCCTGTTTTTCCTTTAATTATAAGATAATCCCCTTATTAAAGGAAATTCATTTATTTATTTATTTTCTCCCCCTCAAAAAAGGGGTTCTATTCTTCAGTTTCCACAAATCTAAAGAACTATGGCTATTTTGATAATTTATACCACAGTTTAATATACATTGTGAAATATTTGAATGTTTTGTTCTTTGGATTAGCTGGACTGAAGTTCTTGATAAATAGTATTAGCAGAATCTTAGTTGCAACATATACTCCACTTAGTGAAAAACTTAGGTATTAAAGCAAAGGATAATAAAGCTTATAAGTTACAGCTGTACTTGTATAAGCAATTTCAGTTTTGATATGATTTTGCCAGCTGGAAGCAGTGGATTTCTTTAGTGTAGATTGGGAGAAATCAAATAACTTAAATAGCTTAGCATATAGGACCAATTAACAAAAAAACTAAAATATTGTCATAGTAAAAGAACACTTAGTAAGAGATCAGCTGCAAATATACTACAGTTGAATGTCTCTGAGCTATTCATAGGAATTTTTACATATTAAGTAAATTAATTATATATAATCCTTCATATGGCACTTAAAAGAATATTTCATTTTAAACTTGCAGAAAAATGGCAGATCATTTTTACAAAATTACAAATGTGGTTCCCCATCGTAAAAGTAAGCCAAATTACAAAAATTTGTTTAAAAAAATTAGGAAAACATACAACCAGTAACTCTAAAAAACTCACTGTTAGCATTTTGCAACAATTCTTTCTAATGTTGTTTCCATGCAGTTTTATACTTGAAATCAATTACATAAAATAGTGTATATATGTTATATATGCATTTTACACATAAGGGAATATAGAATCATCTTTTAAATAGTAAAAAGATATCTTTTGGTTAGTAGCTTTAACTTAACAAGACAGACACTGAATTATAGAGAATCATAAGATGATCTGATCTGATTTTTAACTGTCTTTAAAATGATATTTCCCACATATATAAACCTTGTGCAAAGAAGTTTTTCATGTAAATAACAAAAAATTTATTTTAATCTATCAATGTAAAATGTCTTTCAACAATCATATTTTAAAAGCCTTTTCCTATTTTATTACCCCAGAGAAATAATTTAAATTTATTCAAAAGACAAGAGAAAACAGCATACTTATATAAATTATTTTTATTGTGTGAAAATGTGATAATTTATGATGATTAAAAATAAAAATGCAGCATGTAACAAAATAGGCATTTAACTGTTAAAAGCCACCTGGATTTACAAAACTTCTTTTAAAATATTTTTAGAATGCTTTAAGAATACAAATTAGCTTTTGAGATATATAAAACATTAGTTCTACTGCATTGTACAATTTCAAAATCACTTTATTTTAATTAAATGGACTCTAACTATTGTATACTACAGCAATCACAAATTTAAAAAACGTATTTCTTCTCAAACTAAGTGCATTTTTAAAAGATGGCAAAAGTATGGGTTTAGTGGTTTAAAAAATGAAGAAATGTAAATGTTACAAATGAAACCAAAAAGATGTACAAAAGAATTCTCTCCCCCCTTTAAAATTCAGTTCAAATTTTTCATCTGTCTACTTGTGTTGATATTCCTTACATTTCAGCCACCTTATCAAATTTAGGTTGTTATTAATTTTAAATATATATATATTTTTTTATTTCAGAGAAAGGAAGGGAGAGGGAGAGAGAGAAACATCAATGATGAGAGACACTGATCGGCTGCCTCCTGCACGCCCCTTACTGGGGATGGAGCCCGCAACCCGGGCATGTGCCCCACTGGGAATCGAACCTCGATCTCCTGGATCATATGTCAATGCTCAACCACCGAGCCACGCCGGCCGGGCCAGGTTGTTATGAATTTATATCTGAAGTAGAATGCTTGGTGGGTTCCATGTACAAAACTCAGAAACTGCGTATGCTGCTGACTGTAGTAATAAGTGACCTGATTAATGAAAGTTCAGGAAGTTTAAAATGCGAATTAAATGTGATGCTCTCAAGTAAAACTTTAAAATAACCACACTGAACTGCTTTAGACAAACTTATCATGCTGTTGTCAGGCACCACGTATGTCTGCTGTCAGTACAAGTTACCAAACTGACCAATTTTGACAAGGTGATATAGGAATCACACCGTTTATAGTATTTTCACCTTGATATAAATACATGCTTTCAATTAAATGCAACATTATGAATCTATTCCTCAAAATATACATCTAAAAGCCCATCTAAATGCCAGACAAAAAGAAAATCCTACAAATGCCATTCTTCAGTGCAAGAGAAATGCTATTATTTTAAACCGAGAAATTATTTTGGAATTATTTCATTGTAAAAATAATTTTGGAATTATTTCTTTATTCTTACTGCTTTAATACCCAAGCATTTCCCTGTTATAAAATACAAGTCTCTGGACCTACAGTAGCTTTTTCAGTCTTTTTGCCTTTCATTTCAAGGCACTAACCTAAGAGTCACTGCAGCTGCTGATAGACAAGGGAGTAACAAGGAGCACCTTGATCTCTGAGAGGGTGTCACCTTTAAAAGTGGGGTTTATTGGGACTTTTAATAATATCTCGCATAACATTTTTATTTTATTTTTCATGTGTCTTTTATTAGGATCATCATCAAAGAAAACAAACAACAAAAAACTGATCTATCTCCTTGGGTAGTGCTTTCAAATAATATAATTTGTTAGAATAAAGATCTGAGAATCCATTTTTTAAAAGTATTATTTTAAAATTAGGTCAAATTAGTATGTATACTTCAAGAACAATACTATTATAAAACATACCTCAAAACATATAAATATATCACTTGTATAGTTAATGTTTGTCCAGTAACTCGACTCTATTTTCCAGACACAATTTAAACAAAGCATCTATAGAAAAGTATACAGTCAATGTCATAGTAATTAAAATTCTTAAACAAAAGTTTTAGAAAAATATAAAAAGTTAAAAATTTAGGTTATAAATTCCCAAGAGTTCCCCTTCCACACACATGTATCTTACATAAAAGGTTTATGATGTAGAAATAAAGACTATTAAACAAGTAGTAATGAAGGTGTGCAAAGTTCACTGGCTCTGTTTCTGAAAGGTTTTCCTTCAGGAATATGCCCATGAGTGGGGATGTATAAACCAGAGTCAATAATAACTCTTGCTAACTTGGTCCAAAATGCTCATCCCATCTGCTGGTTTTTTTGCTTCCTTTTTTTTTTTTTTAAACCATGAACAACATGGATAAGTATCAGATCAGACAGATCTTTGGTTATCAATCTCCTCACTGAAATCACTATGTTATCTTGCCCATCATCAAAGTTCAGGGTTTTTCTTTTTTGAGAAAGAAGGTCCTCTAGTCTTGCCTATACTAAGACAGCTCATCCACACGACTTGGTTATGAGATCATGTCATGAACATCACTGTTAGGTCTCTGTCGCACAGCCAGGGGAGGCAGTGGCTTCCCGTAGAAATCTATAAATAGAGGCATAACAAAAATACAAAACAGTTATGATAAAGAGATATTTTTGACACAATTCATTGACAACCAACACCTTTTAAAAAAAGACACTCTCACTTGACAGATGAAGCAATGAGAGAATAGAAAAAACAAAATCCAAGAAAACCATAACTCTAGATTACCAATTAATCTCTACTTGATTTAATAAAAAGCTGCACCTAATGTATCCATTATTTCCAATTACACATTCATGTTAGAAGAGAACAAATAACAAATAATCTACGGAACCTGAGGTCAAAGCCCTGCTGAGTCAGTAGCTGTACAACCCATGTTCTTACCAATGGCTATTTCTTCTAGGTATTTTGAGAGAAGTAGTTAATCATCATAATGTTCTGGTAAGTAGGAATCTTTTACAATGATTCTTCAATATATTTCAGTGATTTAGGGCATATTTGATATCCAAAAAATTCTTTTGGTATTTCATAATAAGTTCCTACCCCTTCCTTATCACAAATTAGCTTAAAAATTTAATAGCTTATCTAACATTCCAGCAGTAATTATTTTCTGGCCTATTCCCTTAAAATTATTCTAGAAGCATAGGTGTTCAGGATCATGTGAAATAAATATATGGAAAACATATTAGGGGTCCATTTCCAGTTCTGCATGTGTCTAGAGCTTAGCTAAGCTACTCCATGGTATTGCTGCCTCACCATTCATTTTCTCTCCTTAGAGAGTAGCCCCTCATGCAAGCCCATGCTCTAGGTAACTGCCTGCACAGGAAGTAAATGTAAGTTCCTGATATGATGACTTCCCCAATGGCCCTTGTGGTCAACAGTCTCCCTCGCCTTCCAGGACCTTTTCTCAGATAAGACCCCAGTGGAACTTAACATTCCGCTCCTTTTGGTTTGAATTGACCAATTTGGCCTTAGCCTGAAAACACCAAAGCACATCATCACAGACACTAATAAAGGCAAGTGCCCAGGTCCTGCAGCTCTCTCTGCCTGTACCCTGCCTTGAGCACCCCTGGTGGAACCCTTCAGGACTTATGAGTAATAAACTTTCTCTATTGCAATTTCTCTTGTGCTCTTTCAGAACCCAAGCTTACCATCCAGCGTGCAGAGGCTCCACTTAACAAATGTTAATTTAACAAAATCATAACAGCATTTAAGGAACTTGGAAGTCACCACTCCATCCTAACATAAAGTAAATAGCTGAACAAACTGAAAAGTCAACACTCTTCTTCAATCCATAAGACAGGACAAACCATTGCCTCCAATATTGGACACGCAGACAGATAAACACAGAGAGTCTCAGTTTGCTGGAGCAGATATTCATGAAAGAAACTGCCGAGGGAACCAGTGTCCGGGTAGGAAAACCTGGCAAGAAGTATCTTTTCCCCCCTCCCAAAATATTATTTTATTCTTGTAGCTGATTTTGTATTAGTTCTTTGCCAGAAAATTTAAATCACTCTATAAAGTAGGTTACTTATGCCTTAACTGTAGGGAATATAAGTTGATCCTAGTGCCCAAATGGTATGACCAACTTAATAAACACCCATTTTTATAAAGGGTTCAAACACTTTTAACATGTAAAATTGAAGAGTAATACTACATACAAAATTTTATCTTTGTTCATATTTTAAGATTTGAAAATATTCTTTGGTTTGTACATTTGGTACTTGTGAATAAACCTTTGATTTATTTCTCATAATGCATAATAACAACGTACTGATGAAGTACGGATTGAGTGTTTACAAAGGAAAAATAGACTCTCGTCCCTTCTCTGAATGCATCTGTCTTACCTGTTACACTGAATAAACATTATAGATAATAAAAGCAATTAGAAAAGTAGAGTCAAAGAGCTATAAAGGTAAATGTCTATAATCAAAGAACAAGAAAGAATCTGCCTTAAATATTCCCATCTGACTATAAGAAAACTTTTTTAAATGTATCTTTATTGTTGAAAGTATTACAAATGTCCCCATTTGTCCCCCATTGATCCCCTCCCCCAGGCCTTCTCCACACTGTTGTCTGTGTCCATGGGTTATGCACATAAGCATATAAGTTCTTAGGTTAATCTCTCCCCACCCTCCCC